GCTGCCGCGGGGCGCCCCGGGCGCTGCGGGCGGCCGCGAATGAAGCGCCGCGGGGCTTTGGAGGGGTTTGGCTGCGAAGCTGCCGAGCGTGTGCCCCGGACTCTAGCGGCGTTAGCCCCGCGGGGACACGCGGGAGGCTCGCGCGGGAGGCGGTGGGTGAGAAACGGCGGGGCGTGCGGCCGGGACAGCAGGCGGGCGGTGCACCCGGAGCTGCCACGTTTTCGGCAGGGTCCCGATCCGCCGCCGGCAAGTTCTTTTGTTCGGCCAACAATAGCTCCCCAAAGGTGGTGGGGAGGGCGATGATAACTCCGTGCACGCATCCTAACTTTCCTTCCGAGCAGCCGCCCCTCCCGCCACCGCCGCCTGCTTGAAGAGGAAAAGTGGAGGTTTACTCATGTGAATAGGCGTGTTGAGAACAAAGTGATGGGCACAGTATGAGGTAGATATGTTTTTTCAAACGTGAATAACTCGCAAGCCGAGGAGGGAGCGAGGGAGCACAGCAGCTCAAAGCCGTGCAGTGGTGACATAAAATGAGCAACCTTATTAGTTTATTAGGCTGGCTGAGCGCGCTCAGCGCATTGCAGGCGCCTGGGGCCCACCTTCCACAAACAACTGGATGTTTTCAAGCAAACGCGACGTGGATGGTTTGCTTTCTTTAAAAAAGAAAGCGAGGCAAGCCTTCACTATTCTTTTCTGCTCGCAATTATGGTTTAGAGGCAAAGCTGCCGGACTTCCCCCTCCTCGAACAAGTCATCAATTTCTGATCAAAAAATGAAAACGTTTACTTAGTAAGAAAGATGAAAAAGGAGGAGAAGTTTATGCCTTGTTTCTGTGTATTATCCATGAAGTTGGCAGGCCATCTATTTGTACCCGGCAGCAACTTTTATAAGCTCCTATCGTATTACCGCACACACGTAGATGCTTTTAGCATTAAAAAAAAAAAAAAAAAAAAATCCTCTCTCCACCGTGCTGAATGGTACTGTTTGCCAGCTAAATACCCAACCCTCCAGCTTTCCTTTCTGTCGCCAGGCACCACGTGTTCCCTCACCCGGTCCAGGCGGTACAAGGCTGCTTTGCGAGGGGCCCCGCCGCACCCTCCTCCCCGGGGTTAAGCCTGCGCTTCCCTGTTTCGAGCTGCTCAATGCGAGGACCGTGGGCCAAAGTGTGGAGATGAGCAGGAGCCTTGCAAAGCGGGAGCCACTGACACACGTTCACAGACGCCTAGCAAGCTCGCAGGCACGGAGAGAGCGATGGCGGTGCGGTCTTGAAGTCTTAAACACCTTGCTCCCGGCTGGTGGGCCATGGGCCTGTTGCTCCCTGGCAGCAGGCCCAATCCTCCAGCCCACAAGCCACCTGCTTTCCAAGGCCCTGGGCATGGAGGGAAGCGGCGTCCCATTAGCATCCTGTGCGGATGTGGGGCGACTGGTGCCCAGGAGGGGCCCTGGCCTCTGGGTACCCCATGCTCCCGGCAGGGCCAGGGCTCATGGCAGCTGCTGTGGGGCTGCCCTTAGCAGGACCGCAGTGGTTTTATGGGGCGCAAGGGAGATCAGCCTAACGCCCTGGCATGCTCCTTGGACCGTCAGTCCGGCTGAGAAACACTTCCAGCTGCTTATTTTCCAAGCGTGTGTTTTGCGAGCGTGCGCTTGGAAACTGGAGGCATTTGAGACTGGCTCGATAGTTTGCCTTTGAAAGGGCACGCACAAAAAGCTGTTTTCCCCACCAACACTACTGGTCAGAGGGGGAAAAAAATTATTTCATTGAATCCCGTTGCTCTGCGTATGCCCACGGCTGCACTCTGAGTCAAAGTCAAAGGCAAAGGGTGGTTTATGTCAGCGCTGGGTTTAGCTCTGCTCTCCCAGAATAAGATAAATGTAAGTGATGAAGAACTCCTGGGGCTGGCTGAACTCATTTTGTATTCAACACTGCCCGGCCCTTTTCTCTTCCCTTTCTCCCTCTCTTTGTATGTTCAAGCCTACTTGAGTTTCTTTTTTTCTTTTGTAGAAGTTGGTTCTTTTGAAGCGGTTCGAGGCACGCCCTGCCGCAAAGGGAACTTCACGGGAGTCGGAAACACAGGCACACCGGTCTGAAACACTTACTGTACAATAGCAGGAATGTAGGAAGCCTTGAAAATGAATCTGCTCTCTCTAAGAAAGTGTCAAAGCTTTCAGAGGAAAACAAACTGAACTTATCCCCATATCTTTATGCAGATTTCCCCCTTCCCCCCCCCCCGCTCCCAGTCTCGTTAAGGGCCGAGGCAGCAACTCCACTCTGGGTCAGGCACATATTAGTGTTACAGAAAAATGGGTTACGAAAAGAAGGGAGAATAGACTTGCAAAAAGCCTCCTCTATCATTACAGCCAGAGACATTTTCAAAGCACTCAAAGCACACAAGGCACGTGGGCCAGCCCTCAACTTAACTGTTCTCAACAGTCTAATTGCTCATTCAATCCCATTTCAAGATCAGCTGGCTGCTCTGCAGGCATCACCACCAGTTAGGAAGTATTTTATTCCTTCTCTTCCCTTGCCCCACTTTCTCCACACGTTCTCCCATTTCCTCCCTTCCTTTTGAAAAGCAGGGGGGGACCCTCTCTGTGCCTCCTCTGGCTTGTGATCTGGTCTTCAGGCAGTTAAACGCACGAGTGGATAGAGACAAAGTGTGAGTGTCGCTTACTGAGGTCAGGTAATCCTTGCTGAATCCCAACCGCAACCTGCCCAGGCCTCCAGCAAGAGGAGGGAAGGAGGATTCCTGCCCACCTGGTGGCCGACCTGCACCCTGGGATGGCAAACCTTGTCTAGAAGCTACTACAGTGAGCTACAACAAACACATAAAGACAATGCACAGCCTAATTTTCACTCTCCTCAACTACACCATCGGAATATTCACCCAAAGAAAGCGTTCATATTTACATTATTCAGAGCAAGTGAGCCAGCAGCAAGTCTTTCTCAGACTCCTCCTACGATCAGTGCCTTGATGCTTTACTGTCAAATGTGTTTTAAATACACATTAGAAGTGACGACTGGAAGGAACGCAAAAGCCCAGGTACCTGGGATGTTGCTACGGACTCCAGCGTTTGTGAAACCTGCCCCTTTCCACTCGTGAATAATCAGGACCACGTTGCCGCTGAAGCAGACATGTCCTCATTTCTGCAGAGCAACCGTCCTGGGCAGGTCGTTAAAATTACCCGATGTCATTCACTTCGACTCTTTGAGGGTCTATAAAACTAATTCCCATTTCCTGGTGTCATTTAGCCCCATAAAGATCTAGTGCAGACCGATGCTCTGGGGTTAACCCTGCAGACACTTTCTGTTCGGTACAGTTAATTCTAGCGCGAGTACTCCCACTGCCTCCAAGAGAAATGCAAAGCATTGCTGTAACAATACTTGCCTACCTCCTGGGGTCATTGTGAGGCATAATGAATTCAGCTTTGTAATATACTTGGAAATCTTATCTATAGAATTTACACCTACATACTCTTTGCCCTTTTATTTAAATGGCTGTAACTGTTACTGCAAATTTAACTTATGCTCATGTTTTAAAAATAAAAAGCTTCATATTAAAGGACGCATGACTAATAATAACAGTTTTCCTTCAGTCACTTTGTTTTAAACACTGTCTTGTTTTTACACTCGGCTTGGCAAAGAGTCTCCACTAAAACTGCTAAATGCTTTCAGTCCCACCAAAGTCTTGGAGAGTTGGGACACTTCTCAGCTGTGGGACATGTTCAACAACAGGCCTCCAGGAAAACAAAACAAACCCAAACCATCAGAGACCATCATGCAGGGGCTTGCAGGGCTGTTGCCATGGTCTGGTAAGTACTGCCATGGCCCTGGATGATCAGAGGACCTGGTATGGAAGGCAGCAAGCAGTTTCCTCCCGTCCTGAGCTCGGAAAAATCTGACCACGGAGGCACACAAGTCTGCATTTGCTTGGTTGCTGCTTCTGACAGGAGCTGTAACCCAGAGAGCTGGCAGTAGCTCAGACGGGCAGCTTTTGGATTAGGATCTGCATTACCAAGTATATCCCAGAGCTAAGCTCTTGAAGGGAGAAGAGTTAATGACTTTTAAAAATAATTATAACCTGCACAGAATTGGAAGGTTTTCCTTGCAGTGCAAGACTGCTTTAATGCAATGGAAACACTAGTATCAGACCCAAGGGATCTGCGTATGTCGGAGGCTTTACACTTTCCCCATCCTTGAGCTCCTCGTGTCTTTAATAGTGATGTTATTCCAGGTATAGTTTGTTGGCCCTCTGCAGCAGGAGCAATTCTGCTGGGCCTGTGTGTGCTCACACGCACCACCCACAGGTCCATCATTTTAGTCACTCTTGAAATGAGCAACAACAGAACGCCAATAACTGTCCTTGCTTAAGACACTGTGTGTTAGAAAGTGCTTTAAAAACAAGTGTTGTCTAGCATGCTTTCATTAGGCTGTTACTTAATATGTTTTACTGATAAAAATCACTTAACCAAGAAAATGAACAGTGCCATCGACAGTTCTACAGCATAAGAACACCACTTTATCAGGTTTAAGTTTAGAGTATTAACATCCATCCATCCATCCACTCACCCATCCAGAGACAATATATACCCTTCAAATCACATCTGGTCACCTCCACTTGCTCTCAATGTCTCTTGCACCAGAACCCAGGGAGTGTAAATACTCCAGATTTCTAGGCACATAGAATTAACTGGTACTAGACCTGTTTTTTTAAGTGATCGCCACAGCATTCCCTCTTTCACTGTCACTTTAGCCATTGCACAGAGTATAGTTATAAAGGTCTGCTCTGGGAAAAGATTCTAATCATAGGCTGGAAGTATAAACTAAAAATTTAGCTTGCAGACTCTGTGGCACAGTAATAACGTATTTCAGTGGACAAGTGGAAAAAAATAACAGTTGACGTGTAAGCAAGAGGAAAAAAAGGAAAAATCTGAAATCTTAAACAGTCGACATTGCCTCTCAACAACAGTGTTACTAGAGCAGTAACCTGGGAGCGGGGGGTGGGGTGGGGAGGGTGCTTCAATCGTACTGGGCCTTCGATATGGCGTTCTCGCATCCATCACCCACAAAGCTCCTGGCAATTAGGCAGCCCTGTGCCTGAAGGAAGTTTCTTAGCAGTGGAAATACCAGCCTGGAATTTGAATTGTTGCAGGTCTCCCGAGGAGAGAAGGTGTCTAAAATGCAAAGAGTAAATATTTACAGTCACAGAAACCAAAATAATGCAGAGAACAGTGGTCCCTCTAAGGGGAGAAAAGCAAGCAAATGGACCCAAGCTGGTGCTGATCAGCACCTTACATCAATCCCCCAGAGCAAACAGCATTTCCCCATGAAAGAAGCACTCGTCAGCCAAGAAGAAATACTACCTTGCCATCCATAGGAAATCTTCCTGTTTAATCCCTGACAGCAAAGATCACGGGGGCTTCTAGGAACAATCAATTTCCAACACAACACAGCAGCAACACAACTTTCAGGAACTACCCCTGTGAAAGGCTGTGAAAACAAACCCCTCTGAAGACATCTTCATGTGATCTACTACCTTGTAAATTAGGATGTCTTCAGATTTTTTAAAATACTTGTTAAAAAAGTAGAACCAGAATAATTTTTCTTCTTTTTTTTTTTTTTGCATGGGGTTAAGATACCCATATATCCCCCAGCACAGAAAGATTTGAAAGTGCTCTTAAACAAATCCTACGTATGACAAAAACTAAGCATTTTAAGAGGCTTAAGCTTTAGGGGCATCTCAAAATGCCAAGCCATGCAGAAGACTCTTTCCAGTCTATCAGACAACAGACAGCTTCAGCTGAGCATTGTTTGCAGTGCTTGCGATGGGTTTCCTCGTTGCTTATGTTCAGAGGCAGTGATGCTCAGTTGCAGTCCTGTAGCTCTTGGGAAGCAGTTCTCCTGTGGCAGCAGGCTTGCAAAATCCTGCCTGTGGCAAGATCTGTACCTCTGGCATAACCCCGGGCTGCAGATCGGTTTGCTCTGGAGCTGGAGGGAGACTTGCTATAGTTCGTAAGCATTTCTATTTTCCAGGCAAGCAGGATGTTTTGAACTCTGTAAATTTTTAGGAACTCCCACAGGGTGAAGCCTCATCTGCAGCGTGCAAAAGCTATGTTGAGGTAGAAGGCGAGGCTAGGCACAGCTGATGGCCTGGTGAGGCCAGGCGCTTGAGAGCTTTCATCAGGAACCCCCAGTTTTCACTAGCTTGGGTGTATAGCTCTCACAGTCCACATGACATCCCCTGTGTGGGTCACACAAGTGTTCAGTGTGAGAACCCGAGCAGCTCAGCTTTGGAGGGGGGGTTGGCAGGAGTAACCACCATCCCACCCTGCCTCGTTTGTGAGCACAAAACCCTACCTCTTGCTTCTGCATGGCTGCTGCATCCATGCCACTAGAAATTATTTTTGCTGCAGGCCTGTGTACACCTGCATCCCAGTGAGAGCGCGAGGAGACGATGTCTTGCCGGGAAGGCAGCGCGAAAGCAACGTCCAGCAAAAGCTGCTTTGCGAAACAAAAGCCTGGTGTCTCCGCAGGTCCCTCCGTGCCCTGCCACAGCCTGCTGGGATGGCCATGCAGGCGTTTCTCTCCTACCTCTCCCAGCAAGACGGGTCTCCCCGGCTCGGGGCACCCGTTTTGGTGGCGCAGCTGCTTGGTGGGCACCATTTGCCAGTCGGGCTCGCAGAGCCCAGGCCACCCAACCGAAGGTGCTCCCCCCAAAGCCTTACCCTCGTGAGACGGCGGCGAAGCCCACCGACCCGTCCCCGTCCTCCCCCCGAGCCCCTCGGGTGGGGTGTGCGCCCCGGGGCTGCCCCTGTGCCGGCAACAGGTTGAATATTGTAGGTGTGGGCGATTAAAGTGTCGCCGGCACAATGGCGGTCTGTGTCCCATTCGCCACGCCCGGGCTCCTCTTTGGAAAGCGCACACAAGAGGTGACACGGCGCTGGCCCCCGCCATTATGCCGGCGGCATAGCGGCGCGGCCCGCCCCGTCTCCCGGGAAATGGGGCTCCCCCGGCCGCCGCGGG